AGGCGATAGATTGGGTTCTGAGCCTCTGATCAGAGGCACAAGGTTTCCCAGGTCCCTGTACCCTTCTGCTTGCATGTGCCCACAGCTGCCATTCACTGCAGCTTCTGTGTGAGTAACACGGCTTGTTCGCTCTCGGTTTAAATGGGCATTGCTGTGACACTGACCCTCGGCATGGCACTGCTCCGCTATTGGCCTGTCTCTCCTGCTTCCTGTGCATTTGGCCATCTCAGGATTACTATTTAGAAACAAGTACGTTAGCATTATTGCCTTTGTTTACTAGAAATAAAACACTTGAGTAAGAAAGACATGTTTACGGAGCAATAGATATATACTCTTCCACACAGAGACTTGCATATTGGGAACAAGTCATCAGCTGGACAAATGTAGGCAGAGAAAACCTGCTCGATTCACAGCTGATGGAGTGATTATACAGTATTGGTTTAGCGGAAAAATGTAAAGCCATCAAATCTGGTTTCAAATAGTTTTGGGGGGGGAGAAAGGACATCTTGTTCCCAAAAATGATCTGCTGGTTTTGTTTTTTGTTTTTTGTTTTTTGTTTTTAAATAAAAACTAGATCAGTTTCCTAAGATGAAAGATGCCAAGATCCAGTTGTTAGCGGCCATGCTATCAATAACACAAAAGAAAACCTGTTTTATTAGTTTAAGAAGCTTTCCAACTCGTGTTTTATTTCCCAGTTGAAATAATATTTAGAGATTCAAAAATGTGAAGCTTTGATAGTATCAGGAACATTTTTTTTATCCCTTTCTCTTAAAAAAAAAAAAAGTCTGTGCCTTTCCTGAAGAACGGATTTTAACATTTGATTTTTTTAAATTTCACATTTGAAAAAAACCCTAAATCATCAGAATAGCTAATTTAATAAACCAAAGGAAACATTAGTAAAACAAACCAGTGTTTTATTTTTCCAGCCATGTTTGGTCATTTCCTGCACGCACACACAGGGGAGGCCGTGGGTCAGACGGGCGCCCTGGTGGGCATCCCTACCGCCTGTCGCCTTCGCCTCTCTCCGGTGCCAGATCCCCCTCTCCCTTCAGTAGAAACTTGGTTCACCTGCCGCTTGCTCCAGAACCTCCTACCTTCCAGGACGTGGTGGGACAGGACATGTTCTCCACTTGGGGTTGAGGGTGGCCCAGGTGGAGGGCAGCAGTGCAGCTGTGGAACGGGAGGCTGATGGGGATGGAAGGTGGGCTCCGAGGTCCCCCGGGATGGCTTGACCTGTGGAAATATGTTAGAAATATGGTTAGGTGATTTAGGTCAGTCATCTTTATAGTTAAATAAACAGCCCACGCTGGTCTGGGGAAGTAAGTGTCCTATGTGGTTTCTAGGAATCAAACACCTTTTGGATCGGCTTACAGACACTGCTCTTGTACCAATTTGTTTCTCTGCCTGTCCCTGCACCAGTCTCTTTGGGGCTGGGACCCACATCTGCCCAGGGCCCAGGCGCCTGAACTGGACAGTGGCCTGGATGCTTTCCCCCTGCCCCTGCATTCAGGGCAGGGCTAGCGTGTTGCCTGTCGGACCGCGGTGGTGTCTCCCGGGTGCCCACCCCAAGCAGCTGCGAGGCTCTGCTCCTATCCGGGCAGTCTCCAGGGGCATTAGGGCCACATCCTTGCTCTCTCCTGAACCACACTACCTTTCCCAGAGCACTGCACTGTTCATACCTTGGCGCAGGCCACTGGCTCTAGCGCCCGGCAGCAGCCTCATACAGGTCTGCCTGCCTCTGTTCCCATCGCCGTGCCCTTTACCGCACCTCGCCCTTCCACTCCCACTGCCGGCAGAGTGGCCATCCGCAGGGCACATCCGGTCGTGGCCCGCCTGTGCTTGCCACTGCTTCATGGCTCCCTGCTGGGGACCTTGTGTCCAGTCAGAATTCCTGAGCCCGGCACCTGCTCCAGGTCGCGCTCCTTGGGCCTAGGGGTTGGGGGGGCAGGACTGCATCTCCATGGCCTGGGCACAGCAGGTGCTCAGACAGTTCGTCGAATAAATATTGAGCCTTTGCCTAGGCTGGGAAGCATTTGCAACTTATGGTACTTATTGTGAGTGTGTGTGTGGAATAAGTCCGAAAAGGCCTGGGGATTGATAAATCCTGCCCAGATCTCCTGTTTGGTGCCGGTATATGAATTCAAAAAAATCACTGAGGTGAAATTCACACAAATGGTTAACAAAATTAACCATTTTAAAGTGAATGATTCAGAGACCTTTCACACATTCACAGTGTTGTGCACCCATCACCACTGCCTAGTTCCAGAACCTTTTCATCCCCCTGAAAGAAGCCCCGTCTCCACGGAGAAGTTGTTCATCTGGCCATGAGTGCAGATGAAGGGGGTTTTTAGCCAGGATAGGACTTTGAATCAGATCTGGGTTTCTTTGATGACTTAGTAACTGAGTGTTGTTGTTGTAAGAGAGTTCATCCTGAGTGTGTGTACGTCTTGGCGTCTCCATGGGCTGAGCACTGCTATGATAGGACTTGGAGCGTGGCTCTGACAGTAAGTTAGAGTTTCCTGTTGTGGACTTGAACTTGGCTGGGAAGGTGTATCTTGCTGGCAGCTGGTTTTTACGGGCAAACAAATGTCCCAAACCTAGGTAGCTTGTGTAAAAACCCGTCTCATGACTTAAGCGGTAGTTCTAGAAATAAATATTTGAAGTGCCATAAGAAAACGCTGCCCTGTAAAAATTATGTACTAGTTAGTGCAGATCTCTGGCATTCTTTAAAGTAGCCTCATACTTGGGTTATTAATCTGTATAAGAAGTTTGATTTTTCACTGCCTGATTTCTTCAACTGTTTAAAAAAGAAGGGATTGAAATGTCTTTGGACTTCCTCAATCTAAGCTATGCTGCTTATTAAATCTTTAGTCTTTATAATTTCTTCCCCATTATAAAAAGTAGTTGTCCTCATTATAGGAAATTCCAAAATATATAAATGGGAAAAGGTGAAAACGGCCCCACTGATTAAAGACAACCACGATTAATATTTTGGTGGACATCTTTTTTATTGTTCATTTAAAAAAGCAGCATACAAATAACACACAAATACATGCCGATTATAAAAGACCCCAATGTTAAAGAAGGATTGGGAGTAAAAAATGAAACGTGTGCCCATCATTACTCCTTGTCCATAGGGTAGCCTTCCTGTTTTTGGTTTGGGGCCTTTCTGCATCCTTTCCCAAGTGTTCAAGACAGAGAGGTTATTAGGATTTTTTTTTTTTTAAGCATAATTAGGATAATTCTAGGCTTACTGTTTTGTGACTTTTTAAAGAAACTGTATTTTTTGGAGTTCTTTCCTTGTCAGCACATTAGTTTATTTTTTCTTCTTTAATTCTTTTCAATAGCATTATTTTTGAAATGGATATATCTCACAATGTTCACCTTTATTTTTCCCCCATTGGTTGTAATGTCTTTTTTTTTTTTTTTTGGATGAACATTTAGGTTGTTTCCAGAGATTCAGCCTTTTAAATATCAGTCATCAGTCTTGAATGCACATACCATTTGCATGGATATTTCTGGAAGATAAGTTTCTACGAGTGCAATTGGTGGATCCAGAAAAATGCCTGTTTTGTTTTGGTGCTAAATTACCTTCCACAAAGGCCAGTCACCAAGAATGTGATCTCTCTGATAACTCAGAGTAGCTTTCTCCCCACACCTTGGTCAACACTAGATTCATCTTTTGAAATATCCCCCTAATTTATGTTAAAACATGAAAAATTTTATTTCTATAATTTTAAATGAGGTTGGACAGCTAATCATGTGTTTTAGATACTTAAATTTTTTCCTGTGAGTTGTAGCCTCCTGTTATTTGCCCATTTCCTGTGAATTGTTTGATTGATTTGCAGGTATTCTTTACCAACTACTGATACCGACCTTTGTGGGCTATAGATGTTGCGCTCAACCATCTCTTACCCTGTCACTCGTCTTTTACTTCTCTTTAGTATACTTTACAATACCAGATGCTAAACTTTTTATGTACTTTGTCTTTTTTCTCTGTATTTTATTTTATTTTTTATTAAGATTTTATTTATTTATTCATGAGAGACAGAGAGAGAGAGAAGCAGAGGGAGAAGCAGGCTCCCCGCTGAGCAGGGAGCCCGATGCGGGACTCGATCCCAGGGGTCTGGGATCATGACCCGAGCCGAAGGCAGACGCCCAACCATCTGAGCCACCCAGGCGCCCCTTTTTCTCTGTATTTTAAAAATATAGTTGTGCTGCTATTCATGCATAGTTATTTTTCAGGATTAATTTTTCAAGATGGATTCCTAGAAATGGAGCCATTTGGCTACAAGAGTAAAAATATTTTAAGATTCTTGCTACAGGCTTCCAGGACCTAAGATGACTCCACGTGCCTCACCAGGGCAGGCATGAGGGGTGGTGATGAATTCTGGTCCTTACTTTGAGGGCCCAGAAGCTAGATTTTTGTCAGCAGGAAGAGCCCCCACACCTGTCCATTGCCACACGTTCCCTCCTGTGTGCGCCTGCGCCGGCAGGCTGGTTTACATAGTAACCATGGTGGGAAACGTCAGCACGTCAGCACGTTAGGTGATCAGCAGTGCGTGAGTTGCTTCTCCGGGGGACGCCACTCAGAATCGCCATCACGCGGTGACTTGGGAAGGGATCTTGACCAAGGCAGCTCAGGATGCTTCCCACTGCCCAGAGACAGCAGCTACGCCTCTCTTGGCCTCGGAGGGCGTTGCGGGCCCCGCTCCCCGGGCTTTCTGTGGGTGCTCCTTCCAGCCTCCGCCTGTGGGACCCGCGGGGCATTTCTCTCCCCGCATCAGAAGCACACACGGTCGCTGAAGAGCGCACACTTGTCCGGAGTTTCCTTTAAGAAAACTCGAAACTTGGCTGATTTGGTAGGCAAAAAACACACAGCTCGTGTCTGTTATGAGCATTACAAAAGGCTTCTGAGGAGAATGTTTCCATTCCATTTTATGAAATGACATTGGTGTGTGGTGAAGCAGCCTATATATAAATGAAGTGTTTCTCTGCAGGTGGTGATAAATGGAGGTGCCACGTCCAGCGGTGAACAGGACAATGAAGATACGGAGCTCATGGCAATCTACACGACGGAGAATGGCATCGCAGAAAAGGTACCCCCATGCCCCAGCCTCCTCCCTGTGTCCTAGGCCCGGTACAGGGCGTGGCTGTCCTTCCTGGGGGCTGGTCTCTACCCTTCCGAGTGGGTGTGTTCTCTTCATAATGGAAATAGAAGGGATGAGGAGGAGTGGAAGTGGCTTAATTGTTAATTGTCTTGATGGCAGTTAAGGTGAGACCCATATAGAAGTCCTTGTTTTTAAAGGCCTCATCCAGGATGCTGAGGGAGGTGGTTCCGAGTGTGAGTCTGGACTCAGGTCTGCGTGCTAATGTGACCCAGATCCCGAGGGAGGTACTTAAGCTCTCTGGGTATCAGGTGCCTCATCGCCAAAATGGGAATAAAAATGTCAGCATCTGTCTGTTCAGTTTGTTAGGATTAAATGAAATAGTAACATAGGTGGTTTTTAGTATCGTTCCTGGGGCTCCTGGGTGGCTCAGTTGGTTAAACGTCTGCCTTCAGCTCAAGTCATGATCCTGGAGCCCTGGGATCAAGTCCCACATCGGGCTCCCTGCTCAGCAGGGAGTCTCCTTCTCCCTCTGCCCCTCACCCCACTCTCATGCTCTCTCTCTCTCTCTCACTCTCTCACTCTCTCAAATATATAAACAAAATCTTTAAAAAAAAAAATCAGTATCGTGCCTGGTACAGACTCCATTGCGGTAAACGAGAATAAGAGAAGCCAGTGTAGACTGTGACAATGAACAGAGTGATGGAAATCACATGCTGAGGCGGGGAGGATCTTTTTTTTTGTTTTTTTTTGCCTCATCCCATCTCCTTGAGGTCAGTCTGTGTGACCCTATTCATGGAGGCCAGGAGAGGCCTGCCCAAAGAGGATCCAGATGTCTTGATTTCTTTTTTTACTTTGGGTCAGTCACTATGCTTAATACATGAAAAGTTTGTAGGATATTTCCAGATTGCACGGCAGCTCTAAGACTTCTCAATTTCATTTGAGTTTTGCTTTGTAGACTCTTATTTTTTTATTTTTTATATTTTTTAGGGAGAGAGAGAGGAGGGCGGGGCGGAGGGAGAGGGAGAGAGGATCTTAAGCAGGCTCCACACCCAGTGCAGAGCCTGACTCGGGGCTCGATCCCATGACCCCGAGATCATAACCTGAGCTGAAATCAAGAGTCAGATGCGTAAAAGATTGAACCACCCAGGCCACCCCAATTTGGTAGACTTTTTAAAGCACATTTTTTATTTTCACTGTGAAAATTTACTAATTGAATCAGTTTCTATAATGAAGCATTATATTCTAGAACTGTATTGTACTTTTTTAAGGTAAGCTCTACACCTACTGTGGGGCTTGACCTCACAACCCTGAGATCAAGAGGTGCTTGCTCAACTGTCTGAGCCAGCCAGATGCCCCTGGATTGTACTTTAGATAGTGTACACTTAATATTCTAGAAACAGACCACTAGAAAGTTGATACATGCAAATATGGTACCCACGTTGGGTATTAACACCCTAAGTTTACAGTGTAATCACTAAAATGATAACGAGATTATACTGAAATTCTGGAATAATCAAATTTTTGTGTCTGTGTAGTTTTTTTCCATTTTTGGCTATCTTGACCAATACTGCTTTTTGGTCAAGCTATTATAAATTTTATGGAGGCTAATTAGATTCATGCTGCGATGTTAAAATTCCTGTGGTCTTGGCTTCTAAGGTGCTCCTCAGAGTGCAGGAATTCAAGTAGGCGCTGTTGATATGTTGACCCATGGCTCCGTCAGCAGCTGAGACACAGCCCACGGAGCAGGATCTGGGCAGGGAGCCACCACCTGGCCTGGTTGGGTCTCAGCATCCAAGTGATACATTTTGCAGCAGAGTGCTTCTGAATTCAGACTCATTAGGCTGTATCCAGTTTTCATGTACTGGGCCCTTAATCAGAGTTTCCAGGGTATAGGCTGTCATGATTTTGGACTTCCTCCTCCATTATCCAGGAAATGATGGTCATCTTTTGAAATGAATAGCAAAGAGCATTAACATTCAGGGCTTTTTAACATCTCTGACAGTACCTTCTACTGGTGCTAGTGAACTCTTGGCAGAAAAAAATGTCTAGCTCATTTATGCTAGCACATTTATGCTAGACATTTATTTGCCTGTTTGAAAGTCTTTTTCACTGTCTCAACTTTGCTACGTTAGTATTTCCTTGAATACTAGTGAGATAGGATATCTTCCTGCTTCGCTGGCCGTGCTTTTCTTACTGTATGAAATGACAGGTTTGGGGAGAACGGTTACCGTGTGTTGAACAGTGCTAATGGTCCAGACCTTGGGCTCTGTGATTCAAGCAACAGGTCACATTTAGCTCTCACCACAACCCGGTTAGAGAGGTGCTACCACTATTCCTGTTTTAGAGAAAAAGAAAATGAAATTTAGGTCCCCTGCTGTCTTGAATTTGTGCAAAGAAAACTTCAGAGGATGCTGCCCTTTGGGATCTTGCCTTTTTGAGGGCATGGAAAGGCTGTCTCTGAACACTTGATCGTGAATTAACTAACACTGGGACCTTGCAGGAGAGACAGGAGGAGTGGGGGCCAGAGAGATCACCCCATGTGATCTCCATATTCATGTTTGTTTTCCTAATTATAGTGAGCTATTAGTTGTCATATATTCACTTACTTTATACAAGACTTGACTTCTGGTGTCTCTTAATACTCTTGAGTTCCTTACGGTAAATGCTGGTTAATATGGTGTTAGCTACAAGATACCCATCTTGAAATGTGCTCAAAGGAATTTATTCCTGAAAGGACCAGAAGGATAATGCCTTGAATCACGAACCACGAATCTGTAAGATAGCATTGGGACCCATGCCCAATATGTTCTGAACTTGACCTCGGTATTACTGGGATTCTTCTATGAGGGATGTTGAAGGAATTGAACTTTGTTTATAGTGAGGGTATTTACAACAAGAATGAATGAACTACAAGTAAATGGTTTAGATATTCCCATTCAAGTATCAGCATTTTGTTGCTTTACAGATTCCCCGCAAAATGTGTTTACAGGAGCAGTGGTTGCAGTGGTGTTGGGCAAATCACTATTAATCACAATTTCAGAAAGTTGTTTCTGGTAATTCCTAAAGAGCGACTCTATCCTTCTGGGGGGCCGTGTAGCATGGTGGCAAATGCAGCGTTTGTGGACAGCCTGTCTGTTCAACTCCTGGGCGACTTGCTCAGCCCTTCAGAGTCTCTACTTTCTCATCTCTAAAATGGGGTTATTACAACACATAACTTCCCAGGGCCCTTGCATGGAGGACAGGGGAATGTAAAATAGCACGAGGTTTTTAGGAAGCAGAGATTGCCAAAATGTGAAAATAGTCACAAGTGAACTAGTTATAATGTGTACCTACTTGAATATCCCTCCCACCTGTCTTGGCACTGGGGTCTTTTGCTGCCCATTGTTTCAACAGCTGTGCAGTTGCAACTGTCGCCAAGTTTGTTAAATAGAAGATAAACTTACTTTCATAATGTTGAGATTTATTTTGAAAGTTAAAGACCTTTTTAAACTTTCAGTCCTTATGGATTCTCTTTAAAATTAAGGTACCGGCAGTTCTTGAAAAAGGAAGTCCCTTGGAATAGATTAGAATACAGCATTGGTAATTTTTGAAGCTGGAGAGAGATATGGGGTGGGCATTCCATATTTCCACCTTTGTATATGTTTGGAAAATTGTGTGGTACAAAGATAAGAGAATAATTGAGTCCTACCTTATTGTTGCTACTCTTTGATTCTCTGGTATTGACTGTGGCTGTGAAGAAATCAGGCCAGTCTTGTTTTCTTCTTTTTATCAGCATCTTGATCTTTTTGCCTGTTTTTTGGATTATTTTTGATACTCAGTAACTTTACTTAGATATGTTTTGATGTTGACCATTCTGGGTCAGTGTTTTCTGGCACCTGGAGTATTTAGCATTAAAAGTCCTTTTACTTTAGGAAAGCTGTCTTGAATTCTGTCTTTTTTTTGTTTCAGTCTATTCTTTCGGTTTTATTTGACAGAGACACAGCGAGAGAAGGAACTTAAGCAGGGGGAGTGGGAGAGGGAGAAGCAGGCTTCCCACTGAGCAGAAAGCCCGATGCGGGGCTCGATCCCAGGATCCTGGGATCATGACCTGAGCCGAAGGCAAACGCTTAACAACTGAGCCACCCAGGCGCTCCCCTGGACACACTCTTAAGAGCAGGATATTCCGTAGGGCACCTGGGTGGCTCAGTCAGCTGACCATCTGACTCTTGGTTTCCGTTCAGGTCATGATCTCAGGGTCCTGTGGTGAGCACCGCGTCGGGTTCCACTCCATGCTCTCCCTCCACCCTGAGCTCTTCCCTGCTTGCTTGCTCTCTCTCCCCCTTCCTATTTCTCTCAAATAAACAAATTAAAAAAATCTTAAAAAAAAAAAAAAAAAGAGCAGGCTATTCCAAAGATTCATAGGTTGTCTCCCAATTGCCAGGCAAAGACCAAGACGTTTTTTGAAATGTGTCGGGGCTTGGACAACCCAGGCCTGCTGAGCTAATCCTTTCCTGCACATTAGCATATACCACACTTTTCACACACATGTGCTTTCTCTACCACCCCTACCAACAGATTTTTAAAAGGCATATGCAATCCATTTTAACTCTGAATGCAAATCTGCCAATATCTGTTGTTTAGAATGGAAGAAAAAATTCTCTGAAAGGTCACCCTCAGTTCTTGTTTGGATTAGCTCAAATGTCAACTTACATCAGACATTTATTTACCTTTAGGCTTTGAAAGGTGAGGCTGAATTGTACCATTTCTTTTGTTCAAGGGTATTTGGCCCCCCAAATCCCCGTCTGCCTCTGCACGGGAAGTCGATTGACAAACGGAGTCAGTGTCTTTCTGTGGACCATATCCATGGACAAGAGGGCACAAGTCGGGCTAGATATAGTCAGAAGGTCATCATCCTTTTTTGTGGAACATCTTTGACTTTTGTTTCCTGTTAGGCGCTTTTTTAAGTTACGAAAGACTTAAAAAAAAAATGCCCATCTCGGATTCCAAGAAATTGTTCATAGAGTTTTAGAACCCAGAGCAGTTTTGAGGATACGTGGGAGAACTTGGTTACCTTGAGTTTTCTATTTAGCTGAGAAGTAATGCAGACATTGACTATACTATAATCTAAAATGCCCAGTCTTTGTGAAGATTTTGGCTCAAAAAGCATGCAACACTTAATATTTTTAAAAAGTCTGTGGTAATGGTGGGGGGGGAGGGAAGAGAAGGGAGGAAAAAAAAAACCCCACTGGTCCCCTAAACTATAAATATATCTTTAGTCTGTTCTTAAACAAAATTGGAATCCTCCTATCTGTGTCCTTTTGAATTTTGCTCTTTTCACTCACCATGTGTCTGAGCAGAAGTGTTTTGATAGGAAGGTGTAGGACTTTTTTTTTTTTTTTTTTAAAGTACAAAGATCTTTCTCCTTGCAGAGATGTGGTAAAGTAGAAGGGGCAGATTAGCGCTCTCTGTTTGGAAGTGGTTAGCATTTTGTAACGCTTTTTCCTTTGGGGCACCACTCGACTGCTCATGCCAAGGTATCACTTTGTGGGCTCAACCTGGAAGGATCCCTCTCTACATAGGGGGTCCCCAGGCATGGAGAGAAACTGAGCAAGGTGGGTGCTCTTGGGGATGAGTCAGTGATAAGGGATACTGAGCCCCCAAACTCTGAGGACAGATTGTCTCGCTGAGTGTGTTGAGCATTACATCAAAGGCAGCCAAGGCTTATTTTTGCAAGAGAGTGGCCACCACTTTATAAAGTTGTTTTTCCGTAACAGTGGCCTATATCGAGTGGAGTTCATTATCGGTTCTCACTTTTATTCAACAGTTCCTTTTCTCCCTGTCACTCACAGAGCTCTCTTGCCGAAACCTTGGATAGCACTGGCAGTCTAGACCCCCAGAGGTCGGACATGATTTATACCATAGAAGACGTCCCCCCCTGGTACCTGTGCATATTTCTGGGGTTACAGGTAAGATGGTTCCCACGGGATGTAACCGCCAGCAGACGTTCAACTTGTCTGTCCGGAGTTATTAAAAATTCAATTTTGATTTTTATTTATGGACAACTTTAAATTACTCTTTTAAGAATGGTGACTGGGACTCATCAGCATCCATTTCATAGTGGTAAAAGGAAGACAAGAACAGGAGGAAGAGGTTGACCCGGGCACGGAGGAAGGAAAATGCCCAAGGAATGAACAAGATGAGTGACGTGGCAGGAAGGAGGAAGGACCGTAGAGATACAGAAAGAGGGGAGAATGCAGGGAGGGAGGGGAGAGAAGTTTTGATCTTCATTCCTAGTCATGCAGTCCAGTCGTGGTCAGTTCTGCTGCGAAACATGAGAGACACCGAGAAGTGCCCTGTCGGCCGGGACGTACCTGGGAGGTTCCGGTGTTCTCTGTACGGGAAGGGAGACGGTGCTGCGGTAGAAGCTTTGTCTGCTGCGGATTGCCATGGGAGCACAGCGGGCAAGCCACCAGACAAGGGGGGACCAGGCGGGAGGTGACCCAGGCTGATGCAGGGCTTCTGCATCTTGGGTATTTTTCTCCCCTCTCTCAGTACCCTTTCCCCTCTTAGGGATTAGAGGGGGGACTTTGGAGAAGGGCGTTAAGTCAGGAGGCCCTGTCCCCCTGTCCCCCCTGGCCTGTATCTGCCTTGGTTGTTTTAGCCCAGACTCTCTTCTGAGGTTTCACTTTCCTTTCTTCCTTTCTCAAGTTGGGATGAGCTGTTCAACCTGAGGTATTTCAGATGCTGAGAAAATTGGTCCCATTGCCCAGACAGGTGTAGTCACTTAGAGGTGGGGCTGTCCCTACAGACACCTGATGCTTTGGTCCAGTTCCCAGCACTCTCCGCACCCCTGCCCCCACCTCCCACACAGGCATCAAAGTACTTGGTCACCTGGACTGAAAAGTGTCTAGTAAAGGAAGAGTCACAGCTGAAGGAGCTAAGTGGTCTTTAGCTTAGGCTGAGTATCCTGCATCAGGTTCAGGAAACTCACTTTTGGAAATGTTTATATTACAGATGTCTCTAGAAGAAGTATTCCCTGGTCAAATAGGATCGGGAAACCCTGTGTATGTCAGGCCTTTCTTGACGATCCGCAGTGCTCTTCAGCTTGTGAGCAGCTCTGTGAAGTCCTGGGCAGGAACGTTCTGTTCACCGCCTGGAACACCTAATAGTGTTGTAGAGTGGAGCGTCAGGCTGTAGGCAACCCATTTTGGCAAACATAAGCAGAGACGGGAAACTGGGGAAGGAAAGTAGGGAGTTTGCAGAACAGAAGTGGGACCTGAACAGACGGACCTCTGGGAGGAAGAGATGTGAGCAGTGAGCGCCAGGAATGTCCTGCCAGGGGCCGAAAGAGTGGGGGCTGGGCCCGAAAGGAGGAGGAGGAGTGGGGGACGGGCACTTTCTGGAGGGTTCCCACAGCTCCCACACACCCATAACCCTTCCCTGATGGTAGTCAAACAATGCTAGACCCTAGAAAAAGATGGGAAACACCCTGTGCATTGAAGCTTGTGTAACCTTAATCCACAGGCTGGAGAGAATTAAAAAAAATAAAAATAAAAAAGGCAGACTGATTATCTTAAGAATATCGGTGTAGAATGCCACATAAAATATTGGCAGATCACATCCCAGAAGACAAATCTAGCATGACTAACGAGGGTTTCAAGAATGGTCCCATGCAGCACAGTTCATGTCAACAGATGAGAGAAAAAAGATCTCAGATTTTAGCAATTGATGCTAAAAAAGCATTTGAACAAAGCAGATATTCCCAGAGTTACGTAAATAAAACCTCACCTGTGCAGTCCTGGACTCAGGTAAACCGTAAGACAGAATGGAGAAACGCTGAAGAAGAAAGGATTTGGCACAGGTTAGACAAGTCTACCCAGAACACCAGAGATTCTTCCCGGGGACCGTTTTTATAAAACACCATTGGGCTCAGTTCGGATGGGATCAGACGGAAATCAGACAGCAAAGGAAGCTTTGCTGTCTCCCCGACCACCTCCTGTCGTCCACAGCACTACCTGACCTGTTTCAGTGGCACCATCGCCGTGCCCTTTCTGCTGGCCGATGCTATGTGTGTGGGGTACGACCAGTGGGCCACCAGCCAGCTCATCGGGACCATTTTCTTCTGCGTGGGAATCACAACCTTGCTGCAGACAACGTTTGGATGCAGGTGAGATTGGGGTGCTGAAGCCCCCTGAGGCATGGAGCAAGGCCACTCCCCCAGGGCTGCTTGGGAGGACTGGCTGGAGCCGGCAGGGCGTGGGGCGTCCTAGTGGCCGTGGCCCACCCCCACCCCCCCGTGTTTCTTTTCTTGGTGGAGGGCTCCGCCCTGGGCGAGCTGGCGACTCCAACTCACGCTGCGCTCCTTCCAGGTCCCCGGCAGGCGGTTCTCGTTCTCTCCAGGACCCCCTTCCACCCCGCTTCCTCTAGTTCAGACCTGGCCGCTCTGCCCGGGCCCACTGGGTTTCCCTGCCTTCAGGGCTGGTCTGCTCTCTACTCTGTGTCCCCCCAGCCGTCTTGCTCACCTTGCGTCTTCCTCCGTGCTGCCAGGCTGCAGCCCCACTCCATGTGTAAAATCTGACTGTGCCCACCCTGAGGCTTCTCCCTTGCTGTCTGTCCCGCCGCCCCCGCCTCCGGGCCCGCCTCTGAGCCCTGCACTCGCCCTGGGCTGAACTCCTCCCCGAGCCCGCTGGTTCACCCTCCTGTGCTTGTGCTCCCCAGCAACCAGTAAACCCTGCTCATCCGCCCGGCTTGCCCCTCCCCCCCTGGGAAGCATCCCTGTCTCCCCAAGGCTCCCGTCATAGGCTCCGTTGAATCCCCACACATGCATCTTGTGTACCGTCTTCCGATGTGGCTCTTAGTCCACTTTGTCCTTTTTTGTTTTTGTGTCTTTTCCCACTGGATTGTGCTCCCCTCATTGGTGCCAGGGCTCTGGCTGGTTCACCTTGCATCCCCAGCCCCCAGCTTAAATGGGTGTGGAGCTGGCACAGGAAGGAAGAGAACCGTCCTTGCCTGCCGCCTCCTGCAGGCCGCTCGTTCCTCTCCTCTCTCCTCTTCCACCCTCATCACAGTTCAGCCTCCTCCTCTGCCCCTGGCTCCACTCACGGCGGGGAGCGTGCTGAGGCAGGACCCTCTCTTACCAGCGGAAGGGCAGCAGAGTACACTTGGGAGTTCTGTCCCCTGCCCTGTTAGAGACAGCCTGAGGAGGGCTTTGCCTTCCCTGCCGGCGGGGGACAAGAGGGAAAAGCTACAGAAGGTAGCTTGAGAATCATGGGCTGTATTCTGAAGAGTCAGAATCCTCAGGCCCTCAAGAGGGTTGCCCTTACTTGGGGACAGGAGAAATACGGGAAGGGCTGTGAGCAGAGTTAAAGTGTTCGGCTTTGCTGTGCAGGCGACGTCCTGGGAAGGGATAGGGCAGCTCCCTGGCAGGTCTGCCAATGGATGGAAGGCTGTGGGGGCTACCCAGCTCTTGGAGTTGTCCAAACCCAGCCCCTGCAGGACTGCCTGCAGCCACCATTCTGAGCACCTCCCTTACCCCAGAGGGACCATCTCCGTAGAGGATCTGTGAGGGGGGGGCAGGGTGTCACTGACCTGCAACGGGGAGGGGATGTGTTCTGGGCATTCCAAGGAGCGCTTGAGATATTTTCTTAGAGCCAGGTAGATAAATTTGGCTGGGAACATCTTTCAGTCTTTGATAAAGCATTCAAGGTGCTGCATTTCAAGTCCAGAGTGTATTAAAAAGCTTTTCTTGACTGACTCGGAGCCTTACCTTGTACACAGGCCACTGGTTCTCTGGGGAGTTGGGGGGGGGATTGTTCTTTTTCTAAACAGCTGACTCATTGGGCAACTCGTAGCACAAACCATCTGTATATTGGGCAGTGCTTACAGTTGAGAATTGCTGGTTGATCGGAAAAGCAGAGGGAATGCGTGTCTTTATTGTGGTAAAATATTCAGTGTGCAGCTATGCCCTGGTCTTATGCCAAGGAGGCTAGTCCTGACTGACAGTTGAGCCTGGCAGCGTCAGGCACAGTTGCCTGCTGGTGACGTAGAGGGGAGGGTGGGGGCCTTTGGGTGAGAACTCTCAGTTATGGGAGGGCACCCATTCAGGACCGCCTTGCCCATTCTTGGGGCACAAGAGACCTAAACAGAACAGCTTGGGTCTGTGCACCCTCACCCCCGCTCCCAGCAGTTGAGCCGTGAAAGAACAGGAGAGGGCTTTGAAACACCTGTTGGCATCGCTTGGGGACCCAACATGCAGAGCTGCAGTGTGTATGCGTGGGCAGACATGCAATACGAGGGCATGTCTACACGCTGTGCCCAAGGGGCTTGGTGAGTGTAGCTTTCTTTGCTCTGTTTCACGGCGGGGTGGTGGGGGGCGGCGGGGGGAGGTGTCAGGAAAGCCCCACCCATGTCCCTGGGTGGTGTGAGAAACTGTGGGTCCCATCCTCACTGCAGTGTGGCCGTGTGCCTAGCTGTAAATTGGGAGGTGGGTGTCACGTCTGTCAACCACGTTAGTGAATTTATGCTGCTGAGGCAGGATGACGTGTGTTGAGGGGCTTTGGTGTGGTTTTGTCTTGGGATATGGGTTTCCTATGGCGGTCACAGTATGCGCTGGTGTCCATACTCTTAACCTGGGAAAAGAAGAGAAAAGTACTGACCTGTTCCACAGATCCGTAACGAACAGTTCGTGTATGAGGCACTGGGTGACTGGACCCAGTAATGGAGGTTGTTGAGGTGAGCATGTGCTGTGAAGCATGCGGGGCAGCCGCCTGCACCTTTGGGGATTTGCAGTGATGTCCCGGGGATTTGAAGGGAGAGTTCCGGGGGAGGTGACAGCATGTGAGATGGGTCTTAAAGACTCAGTGGGCTCCTGGTCCAGGAGGGTTGAAGGAGCATTTTCCATCGTGGGAAGGGCAGGGGCAAAGGCAGGAAGTCAGCCTGCTGAGGTTCCCCGCCCCTTGACCAGTGGCCGGGCTGTGGGCCAGTCTCTGATGCATGGGCGTTATCAGCGGGGCAAGGGAACTTGCTGGGGCTCCATTGGCAGGGCACATGCCTACGGGGCTGCGTCTCGAAAGACATTACTTGGGTGCAGTGTGGAGGGGGTGATGGGCCAGATTTAGGGCATCAGGGATATCCAAGAGAAAGGCAATGGGGATCCATGCAAGGATTCTGGAGGGGAAATAGGAGAATATTAGGGTCCTTGCATGGGATGAGGTAGCTAGCCAGGAGAGACAGAGACAGAGTGTGTGTGTGTGTGGGGGGGCATTGAATGATGAATTCAGCCATAGCCTGCGTTCTGGAGGTCCGTTCTTGCTTTTGATCCTAAAATGGAAAGAAAAACACGGGTGTGCCTTGTGCGTCTTGATTAAAGAATATGACTGAATGAATTTGAGCAGCTGCCTTTCGGCCTGGGGAGAGTTGGGGGACCAGCCCACCCCATGATGTCACCCCCTCGGGTTCCTGGCCCTCCTTGTACTGGGTTAACTCTTGCTCTCCTTCTCTGTGCTGACAGCACTTTTTTCTTGCCCGGGATTCTTGCCTCTAGTGCTGTGGATTCCAACTCTGCAAAGCCTTAAGCTGTTATTGATACATTCTTTTCAGTGATGGATTGTTCACTGTATATCTGAGGGTCTGCTGAGCACAGGTGAACCGAGATGGTGAGGTGGGTGAGGGGCGTTTCCCCCTCCCTGCCTGGCTGGTCACCACCTCTGGGGTGTGTTTGCTGCACCTCTGTGTTCGAGTGTCCCATCTCCCTGCGTCCTCTGCATCTCCCCCCCCTTCACCCTTTCCACTAGAGCTCTGACTTGTCTCATCCCCACTCTTCTCCTCCTTCCACTGGGCCCCAAGGGCCAGGTCTCCCCTCTCCAGTGGAACCGCCTCCTATGCCCTTGGCCCATTTCTTGTCGGTTGAGTGAGAGAAGAGCAGAAACCCCCAAGTGGCCAGATACCCCACTGCCTCCCCTCCACACCCCCTCCTCCAGTATTTCCAGCAAGCAAGGCGGGTGGTCAGATCTCAGCGTGAGGAGCCGGCCATGGTACTTGGACACCTGGCTCCTACTCAGGATGGGGTGGAGGGTGAGCGTCCCAGGGTCTGTTCCAGAGGCTCCCCAAGGCGATGCTGCCAGAGCTGGCCGCTTCGCTGGTGCTGGCTCAGATAGAGTTGGGATGCACGTGTCAGGTGTTTAATGTGTATGGTTAATTTGGCACTGCAGTGATGTTGCTTTAATGGATAAATAAACAGTAAAAGTGAAATATTACTATTTTAAGGAAAACTAACTTAGGATTGCAACTAGTAAAGGTAATTGATGTATTTAAAAAAAATCAAGGGCACCTGGGTGGCTCAGTTGGTTAAACGACTGCCTTCGGCTCAGGTCATGATCCTGGAGTCCCGGGATCGAGTCCCGCATCAGGCTCCCGGCTCAGCGAGGAACCTGCTTCTCCCTCTGGCCCTCCCCCCTCTCATGTTCTCTCTCTCTCTCTCTCTCTCTCTCATTCTCACTCTCTCAAATAAATAAATCTTTAAAAAAAAAAAGTCAAGTTGTTAGATATTTTAATGATGAACTGTAATCCTGTGGGCAGTCAGAACCTACAGTACTCAGTGTAAGCATTAGCTGAAGGCATGTGGCAAATAACGGTTTCTTTTCCCTTCACACATGGGGGAGTGCAGCGAGCAGAGGAAGTTGGTTGGACTCAGCCCTCTGATCTTGGGCAGATGACCTGACCTCCCCAGCACTGTTTCCTTTTGTGAAAATGAGAGGCGGCTCTTCTGAAGGTGACCTGTAGATGACATTTTGCCATTATTGTGCAAATAGATTATTACAAGCTTCCTAAAGTCCATCTGAGACGTTGTGGATTATGAGTCCTATGAAAGATCTTTTAGTTCTGCTGGATGCTAATGTGGACCCTCATTATAGGCTGTGAATGATCATCTTAACAGACTTGTGTATTTACTTCCTGATCATGACAGGATCAAAGAAATAGATAAAGCAGTTGGGGCAGCAGGGATGGCCAGAGTGGGACAGTGCAGGTGTGGGGTGGGGGGAGGCGGGGGTGCTGATTCAGTCGGGAGCGGGGTGTATGCCCAGTGTCCCAGCTGTAAGGATTGTAGATGGCCTGTGCATGTGTGTGTTTGCAGTTTAGTGCCCATTTCCTTAGGCTTAGAGCAGAAGG